ATGCTTAGTTGTAAAATTTTATATATTCTAGAAGAATTGTACAAAGCCTAATAAAGCTAAGGCATGACTGTCAAATTATAAAAAAAAAAAAAAAAAAAAAAAAAAATAGAAGCCAACCAATTTCATTGGCATTGATCTGTTTGATTTGTTTTTAAACAGATGATATATGAGGTTAGAGTTAAAATCCTATTCTTCATTACCTTTATTAAATTTACTATTAGCTCCATTCACTTTATCAGCTTTATTCATTTCATTGATAATTTTCTCAATGAGGTATACCTATTGCCAACCCTGCTTGGGTATAACTATATCAGTTATTTACAAAATATCCACAGGTGCTATTCAATTTTAAAATGGAATTCTTGGATAAGGCCCCAGGTACTGTAAGCATTAGCATATAGTAATTGTTAATTAAAATTGAAATATGAATATATTGAATATATTTTAAAGAATTTATTTCAGATAAGTGTTTTAAAGCTCCTAATAAAAGTGAAATAAATAATAAATATATATTTATAAATAAACTAAATTATCAATATCTACTGCCTAAATTGATAAAAATATATTAATTATAATTTAACTGAATATTAAGAAGAACCAAAATGAATAGACAATACCTGACAAGATTTCAACTTCAAAAAATCCATTTTGAAAATTAATAAAAAAACATTTACAAAAGATTTTTAACCCTAGTGATGTACTCAAGCTCTATACAGAATGAAAAATGTTGTAATTTACCTTAAATATACAAAACAGATAATAAAAGAAGACAAATTAATAAACTGACCAAGAACATAATTAATACTGCAATTACCACAGACATTTAAAAGTGTATGCAGTAATATGTATGTATATATGTGATCAGTGCATCAGTCACCTAATTTGTATCAAACATTCTTATTGGTTAGTATATTAAAAAAATTTAAATTTTCAATCTCCACCTTACTAACATGGCCGGGATATGAGAACCAATTATATAAATTTGTATAGCCTAATAATATAACTTTTCTTTCTAACTATATAGCTATTTTTAGATATCTTTTTAGTTAAAAATCATATCTTGTAAAGTAGTATTGTATCTATTAATAAATAAAAACATGTAGTTGTAATTTATTAAGATATTTAAATTTAGAAGAAATAAACAATACTAATTTTTGATAGAATAAACTGTTTTTCCTATTTCTTATAAAAATTTTGTTGAAGATATAAGTGAGTAATAGTAAAAAATATAGATCTTTTAAAAGAATTTTTTTTTTTTGAGAAGTAATAAAATATATAAAACCAAGTACACTGCTGATTTTCTTTTTAGTAAGTAATAAACTCTGAGCTTGTTAGCAAGTAGCATATAAAAACTACTTCTAAATAAAAAGTACTATATCTACAGTAAGTGATAAACTCTGGGTCTATTAGCAAGTAGTATATAAGAACTATCTCTAAATAATAGATTCAGTTTATAGTTTTACTATATTTAATATTATATCCTTTTTCTATTATAGCTTATTGTTTTTATTAAAAATTTTGCTATAATTTTTGATATAAAAAATTATTAAAATGAGTTGTACTTTTGTTGAAAGATTTTAATCAATTATAATTAGATTTCAAAAATTTCTAATATATATTTTAGATTATCTTAGGTTTTCTTCAATCTATTCTAATTTGAAATTAATTTAAAATAATTAATAATAGTAAATAACTTCTCAGTAATACAAATATAGTTAAAAATTTTTAATATAACTATATTACAAATAACAATAATTATTATTTAAAAGAAATATACAAAATAAATTTTTAGTTAATAAAATAGTAATTTAATCAATAAAATTTTAGAGAGTTGTTTTTTTATATTATAAAAAGAAATAAATTTAAAAATTAAAAATAATTTGTGAATTATTAGAAAACTTTGAAACTAGATTATAATCGATTGCAAACAGTTAATTGAATATAACAATAATCGATTAAATTCAAGTTATTATCATTACTAACAATAATCGATCATAATTAGTGATGAATTATTAATAATTAATAATTATTACAGTATTAACTATTTGGTCGAGTTATTAGCTAAAAACTATTTAATAATGTGAGCGCAGTAAATTAATCAAAAACTATCTAAAAAGTGTTATTTAATTTATACATTGATGAATATAAAAATATATTCAAAAAAATAAATTATCTACATGTTGGAATAGTTTTTATCGTTTAGAATCACATTTTGGAATAGTTCTTCGTTAATTATGAATTTATTCTCCATTTAGTTTTACAGAAATTCGGACTTTTAAAGTTTAAATTCATTGTGATGACAGAGAATTTTTAACAATGGTTGAAATTATTAATGATTAATAGTATTATTGTGCTTTGCAATGTGTGGCCCTATGATTATTAATTTTTGTATAAAATGATTATGATTGCGATTACGATTGTGCTTTTAAAGCTGGCCAATTTATCATAAATCTGTGTTTGTGTTGGCCCAGCACAAACTCAGATTTATGATAAATTGGCCAGCTTTATAAGAACAATCGTAATCTCATTTTATACAAAAATAATCATAGGAGTCACACAATTTTGCAAAACGCAATATTAATTTTTTTATTATTAACTAAAAACTCTAAGGTTCCATGATTAATTATAATCAACGTGTATAAAAATAGATTGAAATTCGATAAGCAATCTAATTGATATATGGGGTCTTTGCCTTGAAAATGACCTTACGGTACATGATACCGTAAGGTCATTTTCAAGGCAAAGACCCCATATAACAATAATCGATGGAAGCGATAATCAATTACTATCATTAGCATTAGCGTTAGTAGTCGATTTCAATTTTAATCGATAATATGCGGGGAGGTGATTTATAATCGATTACAATCGGTCTACAAATTTTCCGGATGAACATGAAATTAGCGTTAGTTTGTCTTATATTTTATTCAAAGTGGTTATATTATACGATGATAGATGTATAAACCTAGAAAAGTAATGAATTGTTACTATTAACATATATTTAAAATGTGAACATCATAACTATTCAAAATTGCTATATTTGTAAAACGTAATGCATTCTTTCCATAGTTCCGCGATAATGGATAATGTGTCTAGGCAGATGAGATGTGTTACATTAATTACAGTATTCTTTGCTTCTCAAAGAAACTTCTAAGATCATTAATAAGTGATACACGAAATTAGACTTCACAAAGAAGCTCACATGTACAACTTGTAAATAATTACTATGCAAAGAAATGTTCGTTAAATATTTTGCAGCTTTGGAGTTTAATTGTAATTGAATTTGTGTCAGGTCATATGGTAGTTTGTTTACACGTGCTTTACATCTTTTCCGATGTGACAGCATAATTCGATGTGTAGTTTTTTTTTTTTTAAAAAAAAAAAAGTATATTGGTGATAGAACCCTTTTTGTTGAATAATTTAAAGAATTAGTTATCCTTTAAGAAATTATGAAATAGCCATGTGAACCTTTTAATTTATGAATTCTAACATTTATTGAATTATAATTGACATAAAAGAGAAATTTGTGCTCTTTTCTTTCCAAATGTTATGTATTCAGATTGATTATAATTTTATTATTATTATTATATTACACTTAATTTACGATGTATAGACACCTTAAAAAAATTAAGTTTTGCTTTTTAAGAATGTAGTATGGTTTATTTATGTATTTACCGAAAATTTACTTCCGTGCTTAATATCCAAATTTGTAGTTGAATGCTCATCATTGCATTATAAAATTAATAAAATATGTAATGGGAATCCCTGCATTAAATCTGATATTATAAACTGATTTACAAGATCAATCTTAAATTTACCAACTTCCGAATTATTTGATAAACCGGGGATTTATAAATTTAAGGTTTTTATACGGTAAATAATGAGATAGGTACAGGGGATTATTTGATTAACCCCTAAAAGTGACTACCGGTACATCTAAATAAACATTACTTTGTACATACGTACGTATGTGTACGCATTTATTTATATGACTTGATGTGTGATAGCAAGTAATTGGCGGGAACAATAGGCGAGCCCTCCGTATATGCCATAAATGCCATATATGCCACATGGTCTGTAATTTAACTCTCGCAGAAAAAAAATATATCAATAAAGTAAAAAGGCGCGAGAAGATAATATTGAAATGGTATTTTGTATCAATCTAACATAATACATTTGTTTTTTTATTGGTAATATAATTATATCTAGGGATCATATAATCTCCTTGGTTTAAATTGAATCTCTTTTTATACGCATATACTCCTCAATTGGCAACTATATGCATAATTTGTAAGACGTTATTGAACTATTCAAAATGATTGATTTAATCATTATCAATGAAAAGTTTGTTTCCGATAGATTTTTTGAACGGAGTTTAAAATATAATTCATATACATGAATAACTTATTTATAAGTCAAGCGATATATAATTAAAAATTTTTTTTTAACTCAATAAAGATGTATGCGGTTTCCTATTCTCCAATTTTTAGAGTCTCATTTTATTTATTTAATTTTTTTTTTTTACAAATTTAATTTAATTATAATAAACGTAATATACTACAAACATATGTATATAAATTATATAAAAAAAAAGTGTTTTAAAAATTATTTACTATATGGAAAAAATATATATTTTAAAATTATTACAAGCGTATATATACTATATAAAAAATAAAGAAAAAGAAGCCAACTCTTCGCAGGTAGGGTACGAAGAGAATAGATAATAATGATTTTCTAAAATAAGATGTAAAATCTATATCATATCATTGTCTTAGAAAGCTATGAATTGAAAAAAAAACATAATGCGGATTATACATCAAACTATTTTTTTTTTTGGGGGGTTTTTTTTTTTCTTTTTCTTTTTTTTTAAAAAAATTTTTTTCTAAAGTTTTTAAGTGTTGTTTTTTTTTCTGTACAATTTAAAAAGCTAATTTCTACTGTATCATATCTTTATGTATAAATAAATATATTCGTATATATATATATATAATTTTTTTTTTTCATTACATTGAGAAATTAAAGTTTACTGTAGTAAAACCGTAATCCTCTTGAGAAGTGTTCGATGTAATATAATTGGAATGAGGGGATTGTAACGATAAATGTACATGATTATTTGATTGTGTAGGCAGTTGAAGACTTTGTTGTTGATTGTCAATTTGGGTCGAAGTGTTAGTTGCAAAATTGGTATCAGAATAATTCCATGCTAAAACTTCAACTGGACTCGTTGGTGTTGGAGGTGGTGCTTGTGGTAAGGTTGAAGGCATTATTGTTGAAGTAGACTGAGAAGGGATGATATAACTTGAAATACCCCAATTAGTTGTCGATTGTGTTGTTTCATCAGAAGGAATTGGGATTGTGATAATATCCGCTGTAGTAGCTGGGACATTTACATTAATGTTGTTAATGTTAGAAGAAAATTGATTTTCCAAGTTTGTAAAACTTGGTTCGTTCATTGCTGATGAATAAGTTGGAGTAACTGGACTATCTGCAGGCGGCATCAATTCTATAGTGTTGGGGATATTGGTGGGGATTAAATAAAACGAAAAAATCGGATTCAAATCTGACTGTGCGTACATTGAAAGTCCTGGTTGTAAATTTGTTGCAGATGAAACTTGAGAAAGTGAATAATCAGCCCATAATTTTTGTTCTGGTCCTCTATTTTGTCTATTTTGTGTACTACAACTACAATTAGGACATTGAGATTGGTAACTCAATTGTGCATGTTCACCAGGAAAATCGGGCGTCTGAGGCGGAGAATTTTTGTTAGTGAACATTGTATTGGCTGAATTTGAATCATTTTCCTCTTTTGGATCGCTGTGTGATTGTAAAGCATATACAGAGAAAGCTGATTCCATCGAAGCCTGTTTTCTATGTTCTATAGGAACTTGAGAAGAGTCTTTTGAGTCATCAAAGTCAGTTGCTTTTGTAGAATCTGCTGAATTAAGAGATAAGCTACATTTATTTTTACTATCTCTTTTTTTTGGTCTATATTTATAATATGGATATTTCCTTTTATGTTCTACAAGGGCCAAGTCAGCTTCCCTTTGATATCGTAATTTAACTTCCTCAGATTCTTCTCTCCACATCTCTGCCACAGTTTTTGATGGATGACGTTCGTCCGAGTTTCGTGCTTTAGACTTGATTTGTGCAAGTTCCTTAGATTTTGTTCGATGATATATGATGAATGCATTAGGGGGTCTTGGTACTTTTACGTCATAGGACTTTGACGATGTTAATGAACCACCGTTTAGTCGGCGTTTCTTTGAGTTCTAATTAATCGAAAACAAAATAAAAAAAAATAAAAAAATTTTAGTTATTTTTTTTAATCAAGTCGAAAAAAAATATATATATTGATATTTAATAATTACCCCTTGATAACCTTCTGGTGCCCATAGTAATTGGCCCTTGCTTTGATCAAAGGTTAATAATCCGCCGTCAGCAGCGGGAGGTAGCGAAGATGTAGGAATATCAGCAGGAGAACATTGCTGATTTTTACGAATATTTAGTTGATATTTTGACGTGTTGGGCACTTTCTGCCTTGTATCCGGAGAAGATTTTTGGTTAATAATAATAGAATGTGACGATTTATCGGTTCTAAAGATTTTTGGAGTAGAGTCTTGTAAAAATAGTTGTTCAGGATTCGCCACATTTACTTGGTCAGCTCTGCAGGAACGCGACCCCTTTTGTTCCATGACAGAGATTAAAGAAAAAAAAAAAAAAGAAAAACGAATAAAGAGAAGTACACGGCAAAACTCTAAAGACACACTGATACGTCTAACTCGGTGGTAAAAAAATTGAAGGTGGGAATTAAGAGGTTTTAAGAGAGAGTAAAACGATCGATTTCTCGTTTCCGGGCTGTGTGAAACCGCTTTGCAATGTTATAAAATATTCAAAATTCTGCATATATATAAAAAATTTTAATATATACTTTATATATTTAAATTGTATTAGGAAAACAAGTGGTTACAAATGTGATATTAATTGTCTAATAATTTAATGGGACTCAGAATTTTATGTATAGTAGTATGTGAACATCACAGCAATTTATACGTATTCAAAACCCTAAAATCAAAAAAAATAAATACCCCTAAAATAGGAAAATATATGACGGATCTCGAATACGAATTGAATACCATTTTGGGAGAAATATATTAGT